TGATTGGGTGTGGCCCGGCCGGCGTGGCCGATTGGGCGTGGCGTGCGTGTGCGAGGGAGGGAGGGGCTGAAAAGAGGAACCTACAGTTTCCGGTAGCTCTCGATAATTTCCGGTAACAAGCTCCTCCTCCGCCGACTCACCTCGGGTGTTTCCGTCTTACTCAAGTTTGGCTCTCTCCACTTCGGGTATTTCCGTGTGCCGCTCGGAGAAACTCGGAATCACTCGGCCTCCCCCATCCCCCCGGTAACGGTCGCTGGTGAGTTTAAATGAGCCGGGGCTGGCCGGGCCGGAGCCGCTACGGGGGGGGGCCCTGAGGCACTGCAGAAAGTGGGCCTGAGCCTCGAGGATGACGGTGCTGCAGGAACCTGTCCAGGTAAGGCTAGCCCCTACTCCGAGGCCTGGCCCGAAGCCTCGGGCGGAAGAGGGAACCGCCACTCCGAGGCCTGCTGCGGCCTAGGCCCCGCTTCTCCCGCCTCCTTCTCGGCAAGCCCCGGGGCCTCGCCCGCAGCCTCAGCCGAGGCTAGCTCCGGCCCTGCGGCCCCGCTCGCCCCTGTGAGAGCGGGCTTCAGCATGAATGGCGGGTTTTCCGTCAGCACTCACGGCCGCCATCCTTCGTCAGGGGCCTGGCCTGAGGTGAGAGACGGAAAATGCGCCTCAGGTGCTCCGGGGAAGGGATGACGGAAGAGCGAGCTGCTGGGCTTTGCACTGAGCGGATGGGCTTTGCGGTGCTGGGCCAAGTTCGCGGCTGTGTTCTTGGTTTTTTTGTGGGAGACGGTGGAGGAGTGATGGATCAGCGTCTTGAAGACTCGTTTTGTTTGACTAGCAGACTTTGTGTCCACGTTTCCGTTCTCGCACAGTGGACGGTGATGGTCCGAGAAGGGAACTCCAGGCCCAGAACTGAGCACCAAGCACTCTAACGGGGGAGAGGGCGGGTGGAGGGAGGGGCAGATCGGGGTTTTTCCATTACTTGAGCGGGGAATCCAAAGCGTGTTTATAAGATGCTTAGGAAATGAAAGATAAACCATAGTTTTCCAGTCCATTCCACTGTCTATCCAGTCCAAGGTATGCTTTGACGCACAGCGCGCTGTTGTCAGGGTTGAAACCCTATTGGACTTTAAGTGTGTGATGCAGTGCCAAGTCATCCCCCCACCCCCACCCCCGCTGCCATCTAAAGAAACTGAACCTTTTGTCCCTTGGTGATGGACCAGGTTAGGGAGGTTTTCAGCTCACTGTATAATCTTTGACATGATCCGAAGCGTTGACTTCAATTAATTGCTAACATTGAGCCATAAACTTTATTTTGAAGTTATAAAGCACACCGATTTTAGAAATTCCTGCAAACTGCCCTAGGTGGGACTGTGACAGCGAATAATAAATATTTTAATACGTCACTACTTCGATATTTCCTTAGTTTTAGTTTGGCTTTTTCTCCAGCTGTTTACATGTAACAGCTATTAGTATTTGGATTCATATTATGCCGGATTGTATTTTATGAAATTTTTCTATCTGTAAGTTGTATTAGTTCTTCCAAAGCTGAGTTTCTTTCTGTCCAAATTTCTCTTACTAGTATAAAGTCCCTCTTAAGGCCTTTTTGAGGCCTAATGTGAAATTAAATGGATAAAGAGGTTACTTAGCTATTTAATTTTTTGTTTTTGTTTTTGTTTTTTTGAGACAGGGTCTCCCTGTAGTCCCAGCTGACCTGAACTCACTATGTAGACCAGGTTGGCCTTGAACTCACAGAGATCCGCCTGCCTCTGCCTCATATTGTTGTTTTGTCTTAATGATTCTTTTGCTTTTCTGAACCCAAAAGACTTCTAAAGTGATAAAATACTTAACACTGACAACATATAAACCACCATTTAATAGAATTTTCAACCTGCCTACAAGCAAGAGAAAGAATGGAAATAATGTGGCCTGTCAGGTTTCCTGTTTTCCCTTAAAGTATTCCTAGCAATAGTACATTTAATATTTTAAAGGCTAAAAATTCAAATTTATCTCCCCTTCCTCTATATTTGTCCATTAGATTTTGGGATGTGACTAGGTAAGAATTTTGGTTGTAATTTATAGTATGACAAGTCAGGTAGCTGGGCAGTGTGCAGGCAAGAGAATCAGGAGTTCAGGGTCCTCCTTACTTTATAGCAAGTTCAGGGCCAACCTGCATGAGACACTGTCTCAAACAAAACAAAAAAGACAAAAAGAGATCGCATACAATGGGAGAGACAAGCAGCTAACTTTGGTCAAGGATGGTGTTGAAAAGAATAAAAATAAGATAGTAGTTTTACAAAAAAAAGAAAAAGAAAGAAAAGACTCATTCCATGCAGCGGAAAGAAGTTAGTGTGAAAAAGGTGACTGAAGCAATGAGCAATTACTTGTTTCTACTTTTTTTTTCTTTAAAGTTTTTACATGGAATAACCAGTCTGATGTCATATAAGCCTAAATATAAGTCCCTCCCCAAGTTAGCCCTCACAGAAAAAGTTTTACTTTGTATTAATCTTTACAAAAAATCTTTACTATTATGAGGCAAAAGTTACTACTAGTAAGGTATGGGACATAAATATGACCAAAATACATTATGTGAATTTCTCAAAGAGTCAGTAAATATTTTTTAATTCCATCTTAATTTTTTGAAAGTTATTTGTAGTAACTGGAGGATCACACGCTGTCTTAAATGACTTGAAACAGTGTTAGTTTGGGTGTCTATAAAAGTTACCTGATAAAACTGGTTTGTTGTTAGTTTTGTTTATTTTATTGTGTGTATGTGTGCAGGAGCACACGTTGGGTGGCAGTGGGAGGAGGGTTTCAGGAGACTGCCTTCAAGAGTCAGTTCTGTCCTGTCGTGGGTTCTAGGATTGAACTCATGTCATCAGTCTTCAAGGCAAGTGCCTTTACCCTCTGAGCCATTTTGTCAGCCTCTGTTGTTATCTTGAGACATTTTGTATACATTTATCAATTATGTCTTGGAGTAAGGCTTCACCACACTGTTGGAGGAAATTGTAAGCAAGCCTTTTTAAAAATCACTTTAATAAGCAGTGTAGTAATTGGGTTCAAAAACCTGACATTGTGGCACATGCCTATAATCCCAGCACTTAGAAGGAAGGTAGAGGCAGGAGTGTAAGGAATTAAAGGCCAGCCTCAGCTAACAAGAAGTTTGAGATCAGCTTGGGCTGCATAAGACCCTGTCCCCAGGGACAAAAATCAAAACAAAAAGAACTCATTGTTGTAATTGGGTACTCTCTGCATATCTTTTTTAGAGTTTATTAAATAGCCAAGAAGTATTTTTGGCATGAAGTAAGATGCCCCCAAGTGGCATCTTACTTGAATATATGGCTACTATGTGAGAAATGTAATGATGTTGTCAGTCAAGAGTGAAAACAGTAGCTTTAAAGGTGAAGGTAATCTAAAATAGCAGTAGATAGGAAAAAAGTAGATAAACATTTTAGAGATAAAAAACCAATACATAACTTGTAAAGTAGAACCAATGACACATAGAAATTGGTTTGATTAGGATAAGGATCAAGAATCACTGAAATTCATTTTGGTGTTGCCTTTAAAAAATAAAATAAAAAATCAGCCAGGCGCCTGGGTGTGGCACACGCCTGTAATCCCAGCACTTGGGAGGCAGAGGCAGGCGGATCTCTGTGAGTTCGAGGCCAGCCTGGTCTACATCTCGAGAGTTTCAGGCCAGCTGGGGCTACAGGGTGACCCATCTCAAAAAAGACCAAAATTAAAGTCCACCAAGTATGGTGTCGCACACCTTCCACAGCAGATCTCTGTGATATTGAGGCCAGCCTGGTCTGCGTAGCAAATTCCAGGCTAGCTGGGGCTACAAGGAGACCCTGCCTCAAAAAAGAAGAGAAAAAATAAAAATCATTTTCTGCCTGATAGGATTGGGACAGATTCAGAAGAGAGCATTTAAGAATTCTGTTTTGAACAAATTAAGTTGGAGGTATTTGTGAGATTACCAGCTGTGGAGACTAACTCTTAATCTTAGGGTTCTAGTTTTGCTGTAAACATAAGAATGATTAACAGAAAAGAATGGATAATATTGCAAATGAGTATGTGTTCAATCACACAGATATTAATAAAGGAATAAGGAAAGAGTATCTTTGTAGGCCAGAAAAAATGGGCATGGCTTCTTGAAGGAGTAGAACTTAAAGCCTAAGAAGATGGGAGTTTGAGTGACATAGAAGAGAAGGAGTATTCTTCGCATGGAATGGCATGACCAAAAACCAAAGATGAGGAAGTGTTGCTTTTTAAAAAAAAATTTTTTTTAATTTTCTCTGTATGAATATGATATGCCTGCATATATGTAAGTGTACTCACGTTGTGCAATGCCTGCAGAGGACAGAAGAGGGCATCACATCCTCTGGAACTGGAGTTACAGACAATTGTTAGCTGCCATGTAGGTGCTGGGAATTGAACCCAGCTCCTCTTCAAGAACTCTTAATTGCTGAACCATCTCTCTAGCCTCTATTCTATTGCCTTTATGTTCTTAAAACCAGCTTTCTTTTTGACAAAAATAAGACAAAGCAGAATTCATAGTAGCCACATTTAAGTATGAATACAATTTACACAGGTTTGTTTACATTTAAAATAATATTTCAGCTGGATGTGGTGGTGCTTGCTTATAATCCCAGCACTTCGCAAGTGGAAACAGGAGGACAGTGAGTTCAAGGCCAGCCTAGGCTATGTAGTGAGAACCTGTCTCAAAATATAAATAAAATATTTCAGCCAGGTATAGTGATACATGCCTGTAATACTAGCACTTGGGAGACAGAGGCCAGAAGATCAGGAGTTGAGGACCATTCTCTGTGAATAACAACTTTGAGGCCAGCCTGAGCTATATGCAACCCTGTCTTAAAAAAAACAAAACTCAAGTGTGGTGGCACACACCTTTAATCCCAAGGCCAGCCTGGTCTGCATAGTGAGTTCCAGGACAGCTGGGGCTACAGGGAGACCCTGTCTCAAAAAGCCAAAAAAAAACCTAAAACTCAGATTTTTGGGCTCTTTCCTTAGCACACAAGCCTACTTCATTCTTGGGGGTGTTTTTTCCTTAAGATTTATTTAATGTGCAAGAGTGTGTGTGTGTGTGTGTGTGTGTACATGCCCACCAACACCCTTGCAAGTACCCTTAAAGGTTGTCAGATCCTCTGGAACTAGAGTTACAGGGCCTTGTGAGCTGCCTTATGTGGATGTTGGAAACCAAATCCAGGTCTTTTGAAAGAACAGCAAGCTGTCTTAACTGCTGAGCAATCTCTCTCTAGCCCCCTTTCCCCTTTTTCCTTTCTTAGTAAGTTGGCTATTTCTATTCCATGCCATGACTTTTTCTCCATCCCTCCTGGTAGCTGCAGAAATTTTCACCTAATCTGTACT